TTTTTTTTCAAATCTGGATATCTATTTCGGTCAAGTAAATTGACCGAAATAGATAGGAAATTTCCCTCCACCATTTTGAAATTCCCCTACAAATTTGGTTTTTTTTTTTAAAAAAAAAATTTGAGAGTATATTTTGGTCAAGCTATATGATTGAAATACATTGAAAGTTTTTTGGTTTCCCCTAAATCTAGAAATATAATTTGATCAAATTAGTTAACCGAAATATGCAATGAATTTTTCCCCAAATATGTAATGTATTCGGTCAAGTTTCTTGACCGAAATATATTGTTAATGTCCTCCTAAATCTACCAAATATTTCAGCCAATGTTCATGACCGAAATAGTTAACTCAAATACTAGAAAACAACCCTCATTTCGGTTAGTTTTTTTGCCCAAAAAGGTTAGCTCAAATACCAGAAATAACTCTTACCTCTAGTTCGGTCAAAGATACTGACCGAAGAATTTAATTAAAATATTATTAATTAATTCGATCAAATTACTTGTCTGAATGTAATAGTTAATTAATGAGTTTTTTAAAGAGGTTTTCAGTAAGTGATATTAACTGAATTCATGACATATTTGGTCAAAATGAAATTTTTTCTAAAATACTATTTCGTACAGATAATATTTGAACCAATAATTCAGTTAATGGATTTGACCAAACTATTATCTATTTGGTCATAATGGAAACTTGTTCAGTCAAAATGCTTCACCAAAAAAACCCCGAATTCTTGTAGTGAAAACAAAACAAAATAAAAACCGATCACCAGCTCTTTTCAACTAAAAAGTGAACGACATTATATGTCATCACACTGAAACCAGTAAATTCATCCCCTTTTATTGCCCATATATATATATATATATATATAGATCGATCCTCCTTAAATCCATTTTGTTTTTGTCCTTCCATCTCTAATTAATTCATGTCCTGTCCACCTCATAAGCCTTGTTCTGAATCCCCTGTCCTAAATCTTTAGTCTTCTAACCCACATAGTCCGCCATATCCGTCACGCGTCTCTCGGCTTGGTCCTTGGCCTGGTCCAGGGTGTAACGTTCAGCTCCGGTGACCCTTCTAACGCGGTTCTTGACGTAGGAGAGCGATGACAGTCCGGTCAACCCAAAAGCCCCAGACGCCAAGAAACCAGCGACAGCCAGCCGAAGGACGATGGCAGCAGGGACAATAACAGGGCTGAAGATGAGAAACAGAGGGATGGAGATGAGCATCCCAATGACAGTCCCTGCCAGGGTCAGCCCTGCCAGAGCAAGCAGCATGCCACCCAAGGGGAGCAGGGTGATGACAGCAAGAACTTGGGTTCCTGATGGGCCACTTTGGGAGTAATGGTGCCTTCCATCCTCAAAGCGGTGGTGGTACTGTGGGTGCATTTGAAGCCAGTAATGGGGCGCTGGACGGTTTATTTTATTTTATTTATTTTTAAATAAAAAAAAAAACCTCACAAAGACAGTGAATTAACCAGAAGATATCAAAAGAAGAAAAATGTGAAATTTAAAGCGTGGTGTTGGGGGAATTTTATAGAAGGATACAAGGGTGCAGCATGGAGACACGTAGGAGATGACAAGGAAGGCTGAAGCTGTGCATGAGAAACAAGTTTCAGTTTGGTTTTTGAGAGTAAAGAAAAGGTCCGTCCTTCGAGGTATGATGAGGCTTTGAAGCAACCACCTTTATTGACACATTACTGAGCAAAATTGTTGTGTTTCGCTTTTGGTTTGGAAGGATTGAGGGAACTTGGAAGGGATGGGAGACAATATTTTTTCATTTTCTTACCATTCTCTCATTTGGTTATATTAAAGTTATAAATGAAATCCAAGGAAACATTCACTCTTCTCCTTTTTTTTTCAATTTTTATTATCTAAATAGATAAATTTATAGATGCACTATTTTATAATTCAAATTATTTTAAAGATTAAACGTCAATTTTGATCCTTCAACTTTAAAATTTTACATAATTTTTATCTTTTAATTTTTTTTTTGGTATTTTTTTTGTCCCTTAACTATGAAAAATGCACTATCAATTAATTCGTTAAATCTATTTGAATTTATACATTTTTAGCCTCTCAGCTTTAATTTAAGAGATGAAAAATGTGTAGATTTAAATAAATTTAATGGATTAATTGACAGAAAACTAAAAAAATATATATAAAAAAAAGTTTAGGGATGAAAATTATACACAACCTTAAGTTGAAGAACCAAAATTAACATTTAATCTATTTTAAATTATAAAATAAGAAACCTTTAAGGAGGAGAAGACCCTCAATATTAAGAACCCTTTTCTATTGAAAAATCAATGTTTTACAATTTA